GCTTCTGAAGTGATTAATTGCTATGAACCTTGTACATCTTCATTTCAATATAATATTTTCTCTGAATTCAACTTCTAGTTAACAATTCCTTTTATGACTTCCCCAACTAGATTAAACCATTCTTCATGGCCAAAATTCCCAAATATATTCAGTATTTCCATTCACTCCCTATCCTAAATTATACAGCTTTCAGTTACCTCCTGCCTGCCCTGTCCATTGACTGATGTTTCATTTCTGGCTGATGTTTTGTGCTTCTTATTCATGTTGCTGCTCCTATGGCAGTTTATAAACCTTAGATATACATAAGTATGTATGTTGAAGGCTATATGTACATATAGATGCAAAAGTGTAATCTGTATGAAAACTGTGATGGAAATCCACACCATCATAAGGCAATGGTGCACATGAGAATACAGGATGGGTTTTGATGCTTATTAGTAACTAGTTTCTTTGAAGACTTTTCTTTGAAGGGAAAGAATTTAATGCAATTATAAGATCAGAGTCACTCATTTGCTTGAGGAAGACTGAGAAACATCAACACACAATAGAACAATGGCAAACTGATGCATGTTGAAAGAGCAAATATTCAGAGCGTTTCAAAAGGACACGAGTGTCTGAGCAGCCTGAGCAAAGGGCAGGGCCTGGTGCTCTGCTGGTGTGCCAGCAAGTACTTCATCACTGAACATCACAACTTTTGTATGCAGAGAAATTTTTAGACACTACCTCCACAGGGGTAAAGAAGGATGTGGAAAGATCAGATAGATAAGAAAGCCTGGGTATGAGCCTGAGCCTCCCATGTGGTCATCTCCCCAGTTTTTAAGCAACCAAAGTTTTCTCCTAATTGTCCTGGTTGAGGAATTGGAGACAAAATCCTCTTGTTTTTGGACAGTAACTTACACGACACAGCCTTTGTCAGCATCACGAAGATGCTGAGACAAGGGTGTCAGTTCTGAGTTATCAAAATAATGTGCAAGGGAAATGGTCTGGGGTGGGAATAATGTGGGTATAAATGCCCTCAAACCATGGAGAATCAAGCAAAACAGGGGAGCTATGTCTTCCAAATTTAGTTTTGTTATTGGTTTCCAACCCCTTAGCCCTGAATTTTGATTTTTGTCTGTCATTGTTCACACAACAATGTTGAAACTTAACACCAGATGTCAGAATGATTTATAAAATAAAAGGGTAACTTTAAAAATTACTGTTATTTCTAAGTTGTCCAAACAGTTGAATTACAATTTTTTGATATGGAAAAAAAAAAAAAAAACAGGGTTGAAATCTATTCATACTTACCCCCTCTTTTCACTTGTCTTGAAATATAATTGTACTGGGATGCAAGGAGTTGGAAACTTTGTATCTGAAATTTTGAAATAATGTATGCACATATAAACAGATAAATGATCATAAGATGATAGATAGATTGACAGATTGATAGATTGATAGATAGGTAGATAGTCTTCTACATAAATCTCAGAAATGTGCTAGATATCTGATGAGCCAGAGCACACAAGGAAAGTATCTGTTTTAAGCAATTTTAATAGTAAATGTATACTTTTGATGATCTGATTGTATTTTTCTATCCTATAAAGTTACCCTTGCTTCACTGGGGACCTCTCAAGATAATTTTTTTTGTATCTTTTACATTGACTTACAAATCACCCAATAATTGTGCATAAGTTTAATTTATTCATTGAACTTAAGGAGAGTCATATAGATATCTAACTTAATATGCTATTTATATAAAAATAGAGGCTCATGTCCTCCATTACAAAACATCTGTCTCATGAAGTCAAGGTTATATGTAGACTGTTAGGCACAAATAGGAAACTCATCTCAGATCTGCTGCAGAACTAAACCAACTTTAGAAATGCCATCATACTTTTTTTAAAGTTAAAAGAACAAAGAGGAGAAAACTTCCTCTTTGAGATTATCCACTTAGATTGAACTCCTTGACACACAGCAGAGACAGAGGGAGGAGGTTGTTTAAAAGAGGGAAAATTTTCTAGAACTAGAAGACAAAACCACAGGTCAGAAAACCTTTGATGTCAGTGCTGATCCACAGTGATTTATGCACACGTGTCCTACACGATGACCACTCAAAAGGATGGGTCTTTTTCTGTTTATGAAATTTACCCTGACAGAGTTTGATGCCTACAAGTAAAAGTAACCAGGTGTGATTTTGTTTTTAAATTTATACATGACAGGCCTAAAAATAACTTTGGGTGAATCACAAACTCCCTTTGCTTGGTCTGAGTCTTTCTTATTTCTTTAAATTCTGCCATGTTTTCAAAGTGAGCATTAAATAAGCCATTATCTCTATTGCTTTCTAAGTTGAACTCACTCTGAAATTATTTTTTGTGGGACTGCTTAAATACATTTGTTTATGTATATGTATCCTCTCCAGCAGTAAAGAAATTAAAAATAAAAAGTGAAAAGGCTCACAGCATACTTTTTATCCTAAATTTACTGTATATAATCAAAATACTATTTTCTAGCAAAGGGGAAGCAAATATGATAATTTTTCCCTTTTCTTTCTCTCTCTCTCTTTTTTTTTTTTTTTTTTTGAATATTTGATTCCATAATTGGGTTTTCTGTGTTAATTTAACCATGCCAATTATTTCATAACTGTTTGTCAGCTTATTCCAAGGAGGAAGATGATGGTCAGCAGAGCTCTTTGATACAGAGTTCACCTGTCTAAAAGTTTTCATTTCAAAACCAGAATTCTTCACAGGAAATATCACCACCAGCTCCGCCAAGAAATGTTGAAACTGTTTCTTTTTTCCTTTTGTTTAGATACAAAATGACAAAATGTAGCTCCAGTCGGGTGATTTAATTCGAACAAACAAGCTCTTCCATGTCAAAGAGAGGATTGGAAATGACAATCCCTATTTGGTTTCAATCAGAAACGCCAATGATTTATTTCAGTGTGATGTTCCCGATCCGAGAGTTGTGAGTTGCGTGTTTGTTTGGGATGGAGATGGAGTTGATCTGTTGCTCATCATTTGGGAGGTTTCTTGTGTATTTTACTGATCCATCTGTTTTCTCCTGTTGGAGAGAAGCATGAGGAAAAGACTGTGAGGGAAGGACAGGCACAGGCCGCTGTACCTCAGCTCAGATGTTTGGGATTTGTAGGTGTCTTGGAGGATGTCAGCCACATGGAAAGATCCAAAGGGAAGTGATGCTTTGGTGTGGTTTTTACCTAGGAATTTTTCCCAGGAATGCAGCAGGGCTGAGGGCACATACTCACCCAGGTGAGTGAGTCTGCTGATGGTCCAGGAGTGTTGTGCTGACATCTTGGGGGCCCACAAATCTCTTCCACCTATTTGGGTTAGACTGCAACCTGTGTTGTAGGTCTGTTGCTTCTCCTAAAGGGACAGGGTGAGAGAGATGCAGCTTTCAAGTCTGAAGAAGAGAAGGCCTTTCTAAGGGAGCCCCTTCTAGGGCCTAAAGGTGCTCCAAGAGAGCTGGAAAAGAACTTTTACATGGGCCTGGAGTGGGGAATGGCTTCAGACTGAAAGAGGGCAGGTTTCGCTTGAATATTAGGAAGAAGTTCTTGGCTGCGAGGTTGGTGAGGCCCTGGCTGTTGGCCACAGAGAAGCTGTGGCTGCCCCATCCCTGAAAGTGCCCAAATCCAAGTGGGATGGGAATTTGGAGAAGCCTGGGGTGGTGGAAGGTGTCCCTGACCATGGCACGGGGTGGGACAAGATCTTTAACATCCCTTCCAAGCCAAAAAATTCTAAGATTCTATGATGTATGAATAAGCCTCCATGGCAGGTGAGGGTCAATCCTTGCATCAGCTGCACACTGAATTCAGGTCGCTCAGGATGATGGCCTGAAGCCACCCTCTGTCCCAGAGCAAAGAGGAGAGATTTGGTGTTCTTTGAGCCTCCTGCAGCACACTAGGACAGGGAACCCTGTGGCACCGTCTTTGCAAGGGATCAAACATGCAGAGGAACACAGTGGGGTACTCCCTATATTCCCCCTCCTGCCCTTGGAATGTTATCTTCATTTATAGGTACAGTTCCACAGCTCCATTTCACGAGTCTTTCCTCCTCTGGGGGTTCCTCCTCATCATCTCAGGCAAGCCAACAATTTATTCGTGCGAGTAAAGGTATGCCCAGCTGGCAGACCAAAAGGCAGTATCATCCAGATTGCTGGCAGAGCAAGGGTGGGAAAGGAAAAGCCCAACAATTTGGATTTTGCACCGCTCCCCACTGGCCTGCAGCTGAGTTTGTGTTGTATTTTGTACATTGTTACTGGTCCATTCTGAAAGGTGATGGGGGTGGGGGAGTGGATTTAGACCTTAAATTAGGGGTCAAGAGTCCTTGCTTATCTTGCCCAGCCCCAGAGAGGGAATTCTCAGTGTGGCCTGAACAGCAGTAACTGTCCCCCAAAAATGCCTCACACGGGTCACGAGCCCGCCGCGAAAAGCATATGGGGGGCTGGCGGGGGGGCGGCTGGGAGGGCGTGGGAGAGATTGAGCTTGAAGTGGGATAAATGGGATAAATGGCCCTGCCCTGAATCTCACCTCCTCTGCCTTTTCTCCCCTGCCCCCATCAGTGCTGCAGTTGTGTCAGGTAGTGGCACTGTTGAGTACATTAACCCAGAGCTGAGCATTGCAGCCACGCCGAGTGCGTGTCTGCGTGTGTGTGTGAGAGTGTGTGTGTGTGTGTGTGTGTGTGTGTGTGTGTGTGCGTGCGTGCCTGATCATTACCATTTATTCCCCACACTTCTCCCCCTCCCCACCCCCACCCGCCCCCAGTGCTGCAAGACTCCGGGAGCGATGGAAACAGAGGAAAGAGAGAGATATCAGCCCCCCAGATCTGCTTAACCAAATCGCCGCCCCTTGCAGGGAAAGGAGGGGGAAGGGGGTGGGGGGAACCAGACCAAAAAGACAAAATAAAAGAAAGAGAAAGGAAAAATCCAGCGGGGGAGCAAAAAGCCGCCCCCCGGCGCACCCTTTCTCAGCGGGGAAGGGGATGCGGGTGTGTGTGTATGTTGTGTGAGTGTGCGAGCACCGACTCCGGCCCCATCAGGAGAAGGGGGTGTTTTCCCTCCGCCTTCCCTTCGCCCTCCCCCGGCCCGGCGCGGGGCGGCGCGGGGGGAGCGGAGCGGAGCGGGGCGGGCGGCCGCAGCCCCGCAGCCCGCCGGAGCTCCGGCACCCGCTCCGGAGCCCAGGGAGAGCAGGGATAAAGGGAAGCTTCCCCGCCGCCGCCAAGCAGTCCTTTTCTCCTGGCGGGGCTTTGCTCCTTTTCTTTCTTTTATTCTTTTTTTTCTTCCTTTTTTTTATTTCCCTTTTTCTTCTTCGTCTTCTTCGTTGTTTTTTTTTGGTTTTTTTAAATATTTTTGAAACTCCTCGCCGGGAAAAGCAAAACCGAAAAGGCTTCCCCGCAACCTCGCCCCCCTGCAGAAAGGCTCCCAACCAACCAAGAACAAGAAGCAGAGAGCAAAAGAGGCCCCCCTAAAAAAAAAAAAAAAAAAAAAAAAACCAAAAAATTAAAATAAGGAAAAGAAAAAAAAGAGAGCGCTGGAGACCAGCTCCATCCAGGATTTTATCCAGTGCATTGAGGGGCTTTTTTTTGTTTGTTTTTTGTTTTTTTTTTTAGTCTATTTTTTTTTTCCTTCTTACCCCCTCCTCCTTTCTTTCACCCCCCGCCCCTCTGTCCCCCCCTTCTCCTCCTACTCACCCCCCTTTTTTCCTTTTCATTTTATTTTGGATCCTGCTAAAATTAGCCGGGACTGCTCTGGGTGTTGCGTGTCAATTTGATTTACTCCGGGATTCCGGCTTTCCAAGACGCCATTTTCCCCCCTTTCTCGCTCTATCTCCTTCTATTTATCCCTCTCTATCTATCTTTTATCTCTCGAGCTGTCTCTCCGTCTGTCTGTCCGTCCATCTCCCTCTCCCCGGTGCCTTCCTCCTCCCCCCTCCCTCCTCCCTCTGCGCTCTGCGTGCGCTGCGCGGCCGGGCGCTCCCCTCATCCCCATCTGACAGATGAACACCGCCATGGGTTTGCCGCAACACAAGCAAAAGCACCTTTGGGGGCTGTGGCGAGGGATTGAAACCGGGATCTAAAAGAGAAGACACAAGAAGGGGGGAAATCCGAGGAGGAGGAGGAGGAGGAGGAGGAGGAAGAACGAAGAAGAAGAGGAAGCTGCTAAGAAGCCCCCGCTGCCGTTTTGGGGATATGGGTTAGTAAATGCGGGGGGGAAAAGAAAAGGGAAAAAAAAAAAAAAAAAAAAAAAAAAAGAAACCAAAATTCTGAGGCATCGAGGAAAGGTTTGCCTTAATGATCGGAATTGCAGGAGGACCGTACGCCTCTCTCCTTTTCCTTTACCCTCCTTCTTTTTTTTTTTTTTTTTTTTTTTTAATTTTTTCCCCTTCTGCATGCAAAAGTTAATGTCGCCCTTTTTTTTTTTTTTTTTTTTCTTTTTTTCCCTCCTCTCTGTTGTGACTTTGTAATGGCGCGGAAAAGGGCTTTATTTTTTTATTTGGGGGGGGGGGGGAGGGGGAAATATTTCTCCTCTATGCATTGCATGCGAATCCTCTTCCCCATCCCCTCCAACCCCTTCCCTCCCCGTGCTTTGTGCCTGTTTAGGATCATGTGTGCGTATCTGTGTGTGGCTGTCGTGGGGTGGGGGGTACCGGTGGTGTGTGTAAGACTAGGAAGGGGCTGGGATTTTTTTCAGGAGTTTGAATAATGTATTTATTTCCCCCGCACCCCCGCCATATACCCCCTCTGCCGGCCCCCCGCTTTGGTAGCCTACATGTGTTTATATGTGTAGGTGGCTGCTATGTGTGTGCCTGTGGAAACTGGGGGGGGGGGACACGACCCCCCCCCCCCCCCCCCCCCGCTTCGTAAATTGCAGGTTAAGTGGAGCTAGAGAGCAACACCGTAACCTTATGGGGATTTGCGTGTGTGTGTGTGAGTGTGAGCGTGAGCGTGTGTGTGCGCGGGGCTCCGCGACCGCGTTCCGTGGGTGAACCGGGAGGCGCCGCTGCCCCGGGGTGGCCCCGCCGTGCTTTTGACATTGAAAAGGACACGCAGCCCCGAAAAGCTGCGATTTTGGGGAACAACGAAATGGGAGGACGGGGTCGGGGAGTAGTAATTAGCAAAGAGGGACACCCCCTCCGCCACCACCCCCACCACGCTCGGTGGCTGGATAATGGTTCTTAATCAGCCGGTGATTGCCGCCCTCGGGACCCTGATGGCCCCTTGCGCCCCCACAACGGGTGGACGCGGAGTTCAGCTATGGGCAGGCTGAACACCGCCGGTATCATCGGGCTGCGGGGTGATATGGGGAAGAGGGGGTAACACGAAGCCCGCAACCTCGGGCGGCTATTGTCAACCCCAGCCCCGGAGCAAGGCTCCGGCCCGGCGCCGGGCACTCGCACTCGCACTCACACTCACACCCCTTCCTCGCCGGCTTTCCCAGGAGGGCAAGAGGAACTGGCGTCTCCCGCACCCCTTATTGAATCCCCAGGTGGGAACGTGTGTCAGTATGAGTGAGTGTGTGTGTCAGCCGTGAGCGTGTCCGTGTGTTTGCATCCCAACATCCCACCGCCCCACCGGGCACGGCGCTCCCCGCTCTGCCCCTTCCTGCTGTATTTATGTCTCCAAAAGGCAGTTGAGAGAAGGATTTCCGATTCGTTTCCGCTTCAAATAAACGGCCCCGATAATCCCGGGCCTGACGCCTGATGCTGAAAAGGCACTTGGCCGCCGGGAGCCCAACCCGGGGAGGCGGGGGGAGACAGGGCACACCCCGACTCGGACACCCTCAGTGGGCAGGTTCCTCTGGCTTCGGGAGGGGTGATAAGGGGGTTGGTGCATGGGGGATACACACGGGGGATGCGAGGGGAGATACGAGGGGAGTACTCACTCATTCCCGTACCGTGGGGTGGCGGTGTCCCCGCGGCTGCCGTGAGTCGGGTTAACCCAGCCGGGCTCTGGGGGGAGTGGGAGGACGAAGGGAGGAGGGGAGGGGAGCCTGGCAGCCTGTTCCCCCGGTGTACAGAGGTGTTTCATTAGCCACAGGCCCGCAATGGCCCCACTCTGGGGTGAGGGGGGACCCTCCGTGTGTCCTTCTATGTCCATCTGTCACACGGCAAAGGATGCAGAAGAGTGGGGAGGTGAGAGGGCAGAACTGGTCAGTGCTCCGCTGTGCGCAAGAGCATCTGAGCCTCCTGGTGTGGATGGAAGGAGGAAAAGGCTACTGGCAAATCCAGTCCTGTGTGGAATATTATGGGCCCAAATGGGAACGATTACTAGTTTGAAAGCCCCTGCATGCAGGATTGACTTGGTGCAGGCTACAGAAATGGCATTATCAGGTGCCTAGAGACAACTAGCGACAGCATGAACCTGAGGAAACAAGTGGACCCTATAATATGGACAGCAAAAAAATATTCCTATCAGGGAATAATAGAACCATAGAATGTTTGGGTTGGAAGGGATGTTAAAGCTCATCTCATTCCAGCCACATTTTCCCTCAAGGCAGGGACACCTTTCCCTAGATCTGGCTGCTCCAAGCCCCATCCAGCCTGTCTTTGAACATTTCCAGGGACTGGACACATTCATGGGAAAATGTTCAAGTGTCTGTTTTATGCACAGCTTTCTGCACTTCCTCAGCCTTTGCTGAGATTACGTCCCTCATCAGAAGCTCCTTGCACTCAAAGGAGAAACTTTTTTTCATCTTCATTTGTTTTTTAGCTGAAAGGAGAAAAAAAAAACATCCACACAATGGACTTGTACTTTAATCTGTGCTCTTAGCTCAGAAGGGTTATGTAAAAATAGGAAAAAAAACAAAAGCAGAAACACTCAGTGAATGGAGACTTCTCTTCCATCTCTTATTGGCTTCAACTTTTTTTTTTTTTAAACTTCTCAGACTCAAAGTTTTAATTGAAACCAGAAGTCTATTGAGAAGTAACTGAGCCAAGAAAACCTCTGTTTTCTCTGCAACTAGGGATGGGGAATAAATAATTTTTAGCTGATGTTATTTCAAGTTGTTTGAGCTTTTTGATTCCTGCCAAAAAGCCCAGCACAGATTATTAACACATTATCATTTTAGGAGGATGCACTTTTTGAAATGTTATAAAATGGTGTGTTAGGTTTGTGCAGAGCCATAAGCTATGCTGGTTGTTGGCAAACAAAAGAAACAGTGGCCATGATTTATTAATAATGATCATAACTGAGCTATTTAGCTTGATTTGATATATACTGGTTTCTTTACTGAAGTTGCTCTGTATTGTTTTCAATAATATTGTACTTTGATTATGTTGAGAACTGTTCTTATAAAAACTGCTGTGGCTGTGTGCTAAATTAACTCAAGGAATTACATGCTCAAAAAGGTGCAACCATAATTTTTTGGCTTCAGATGCAGCTTAATCTCGTCTTCTGCTCTTTTTTGATCCATTCTTTGAGCTCCTTTTCCCTACCGCACACATCTCTTAGGTGCGAGTGCCAATTTACCAACAGGACTCTTGTTTTTCATTACCAGATTTGCCTAATCCCAGTTTCAGTGATTTTTTTTCCCTCTCAGTAGGGCTCAATTGCTCACACATAATTTTTCCCTTCTGTTTTCTTTCCCCTTTGGACAATACCCGCCAGGACTGAAAAACTCTTGCCTTGTGCCCTGAGACTTGCAATTACACAGCAATTTTGACTCTTGACCTAACTAGTAGCAAGAAAGGCTATTGTCTAATGAACCACGTGAAAACAGTTCTGGGATCCAAGAGATTGCTGTGATGGAAATGAAAGATGTCCCAGTGAACTGGTGACTGATTTGTTTAACCATATGCCTAGGCGGTTTTCCTTGCTTCCTATTAACTACCCATCTCTGGAGTATCTTTGACCTGTGGTTCTGCGACAACATTGAAAGGCAGACTTAATAACTGCCAAAATGCATTCCATGAAGCATGGAGGGACATATTTTAAGCTGTGTTCAGAAAATGCAGCACCAATTTTGCCTACCATAGCATGCAGACAGGCAGGGTTTTAGATTTGTAAGTGCAGTGTTCAAGTATGCTTCTGGTGATGAGACGAGGGCAGCAAATCTGAGTGTAAAAATCATAGAATCACAGAGTGATTTGTGTTGGAAGGGAGTTTAAACATCATCTCATTCCACCCCCTGCCATGGGCAGGGACACTTTCCACTACCCCAGGTTGTTCCAAGCCCTGTCTAATGTGGCTTTGAACTCCCCCAGGGATGCGGCAGTCACAGCTGCTCTGGGAAACCTGTGCCAGCACCTCACCACCCTCGCAGGGAGGAATATTTTTCTAATATAGGTGACCTATAAAATAGTAAGCAGACAGAGGAAATCCATGATAAGGTCTAGCCTTCCCTGTTGCTGGGAGTCCAGGAAACCTTAGGGCAGCATAAATCCAAAGTTTAGAGCTAGTCCAAAGCGAGGAAGGAGAGAACTCTGTAGGAGAACCTTAGCGAAGTAGCTTCCCAGTGTTGCTGCAGGCCTTCTGGTTTCTACTGGGACTGGTTTTGCTGCTATTATTGGTTCTGTTCTCATTACTTTCTCTCTTTCCAGCTTGATACAAAAAAGCTCCTTTTCCCATTATTCTTGCTGAGGAAATAAAGTGACTTACACTTTTAGGAAATTGTCACCTTGATTAAAGATGGACTTCAGAATCCTTCAACTCAGTGTTTGAGCCTGGGGGGACTGTCAGATCTGAAAGCGATTTGCAAACATTCGATATTGGGACTCCTTTTTCCTTCTGATATTGACATTAAATCAGTTTGTAAGTGCATGTGGTTAGCAATACCTGGAGACTGCTTCTTTCTTCTCCTGGTGAGAAGGTTTCACCTGATGTGCCTTCAGAAGTTCATTGCATTTTTGGACCTGTTTAGAGGGCTGTTGGATGCTGGGACCCAGCACAGCTCTGCAATAGGCACGTGGATTCTAAATTCACATTTGATTGGTTATAGAGAAAACAAAGTTAAGGGAATAAACAGCTGGGGGAATAAAAGAAGATAAAATAATTTCTTAAATTGAATAAAAGCAATCAGAGAATCTTTCAGAGCTGAGGAAATGAGTGAAGGAAGTAGCTAATTTATATTTATCAGCTCTTGAGAGAGAGCAGCGTTAAGAGCAATTTTGCCCTTTTGGAACTGAATTTACTTCGGAGGACAAATTGTCCAAATGTAGTGATGAGCTTTTCAGTAAGCTTTGGGATGACTGGGTA